GAGGAGGAGGAGGAGGAGGAGGAGGGAAAGAGAGAGAGAGAGAGAGAGAGCGGGGAGGCTGCCACGCCCGAGGAGCGGATGGCGGGGAGTGCGCGCGGCCGCCGGGGGCCCCTCCATGCGGCGCCCCGGCGGCGCGGTGATGCCCGCGATGAACGAGACCACCGGCTTGTTGGCCTTGTTGTGCTCCTTCAGCCACTCGGCGGCCTCCTCCTGGTTTTCGGGACGACGAAGAGGAGGAGGAGGAGGAGGAGGAGGAGGAGGAGGAGCAGGATGAGGAAAAGGAGGAGGAGGAGGAGAAGGAGGAGGAGGAGGAGGAGGAGAAGGAGGAGAAGGACGACGAAGAGGATGAGGATGAGGATGAGGATGAGGATGAGGATGAGGAGGAGGAGGAGGAGGAGGAGGAGGAGGAGGAGGAGGAGGAGGAGGAGGAGGGGTGTCCAAGAGGGGGGGGGGGTCAATCATGACCAGCGGCATGTGCGCGGCCCAGCGGGGGGGCCGGGGACGTCATAAAACAGGAAGAGGCGCCATGGAATCTGGGGAAATATCATGGCCCACGCCATGATATCCACCCCCCCTAGTCATCACCCCCCTCTTTTCCGCCCCCGAGGTTTGGGCGCGCCGCCCAACGAGCGCCGGGGAGGATCGAGGGGGATGGGGCGTCAAGGAGTGAAGATCGCTTCGTCCTCCTCCCCCCTACTCCCTCCTCCCCCTCCCTCCTCCCTCCTCCCTCCCCGTGCCAAAGGTGCGCACGGCCCCAGGCTGAGTATTCGGGGAGGACGCACGGGGCGGCCTGTAAGGGAACAAGGAGTCTCCGACGAGCACCTCCCTTGAGCTCACTGGGGTTTCGCCACCGGGGCGACACAGGCCAGCAGGTAGCTGGGCTTCCCCAGGCCCGTAGCAAGCCCTCCCCTCCCCATGCACGGATCGTGTGGCATGTTCCACCCTTCGTTCCTTCCACGTGCTGCCCCTAACCCAGGCAGCCCCCGTATCCCTCTTTCCCTCCCACTTCTCTCGCCCGCCCCTCTGTCCCGCCCGCTCCACCTCCTCTCTGCCCCATCTGATTTGGTAAGCATTGCTTCCATCGCGGTCCCTGGGTGGAGGGGTAAGCCGCTTGGAGTAGGTAGTCAGCAAGCCAGTCAGCTTCTGGCCGTACCATTGGCTCATCACTTCGTCCGTCCGCTAAGGTTTTGTACCGCATGGCCAACTAGCGCGCTGGCCGTGGTTTCGGCCAGCCCGAGTCAACAACCCGGCAAACGTCTTCGCATTAGTCGCACTGCGTCTGGATAGGCTGACGCCGTTCGCACTGAAACTCTGCGAGAACTGCGGGCTACGGCTATGCTTCGCATACCCTTCTAGCCTGCGGTCCGACTCAACAAACACGGCCGGAGATTTGGGAGCGAACCGCATGTACCCCGTCCTTGCTTGGCCGTTCCTCCGCCCAAACCCCATCACTGCCTCCCCCTTCCCACTTTCGAAGGAAACGCATCAACCTGTGAAAACTTTCGCCTCCCCCCTTTGCAGCCCCCTTACCCCTTTCCCGTCCACTTTTCTCGCCCGCTCCCCCCCACACCCCAACTCTGGCCGGCTCCTCCTCCTCCTCCTCCGCCTCCTCCTCCCTCCTCCTCCCGCCCTCCTCCTCCTCCCTCCTCCGCCTCTCCTCCTCCTCCTCCTCCTCCTCCGCCTCCTCCTCCTCCTCTCCTCCTCCCTCCTCCTCTCCTCCTCCTCCTCCGCCTCCTCCTCCTCCTCCTCCCTCCTCCTCCTCCTCCTCCGCCTCCCTCGTGTTCCGTATTAGTCTCTTCATTGTTGTATCAGCATTGTGAGTACTTTGAATAGTAACAGTATTATCAGTCGCTGTATAAGCTTTACTACTACTGAGTCTAGCACTAACCGTACTAGTATTATGATTAGTGTTAGTATGATTATGATGCTTCTTATCAAACGAAAGCAACGGCCGCGATCCCTACTTACACATCCACCCCGAATGCGTCTACAGACGTAACGGCGCCCAATGTGTCCGCAGACGCTTGTGGCGTGAGAACTGCGTTTGGCTTGTGCTCCAGAAATTGATACCCTAGAAGCAGTATTCTTCTCATTATTGATATTATTCCCATTTTCACAACTAGCCTTATCAGTCAGAGTGTTCTTATTCTGGTTACGAGTATGCTTAGCATTTCTATTGATAACAGTAGTACTATGATTATTCCCCGTATTATCATTATGGCTGTTCTTCGTCATTTGCTTATTACTAGTAGCATGGTTGTCCTTATTCCTCCTCCTCCTCTTCTTCCCCCTCCTCCCTCCTCCCTCCTTCCTCCTCCCTCCCCCCCCTCCTCCTCCTCCTTTTCCTCCTCCTCCTTTTCCTCCGCCTCCTCCCCATCTTCCTCCTCCTCCTCCTCCTCCTCCTCCTCCTCCTCCTCCGTAGCCATGTTTGGCTCATGCCCAGCGGGCGCCGGGCAGGCGCGGCGGGCCGCCCGAGCGCGGCATTCGGAGATGGCGTCGCCCGACCCCTGGGCGCGGCTGGCAGCGTTGCCAATCGCGCAGGCGGCCCTCGGCGCGGCGTTGGTGTGCACCATCGGCCCGGGTGGTTCAGAGCAGGCGGCTACGGCGATTGCGGCGGCAGCGCGAAGTGCGGCCCAGGGGGCCGCCTGCGCTGGGGCGAGCCGCGGTGACGGCGACGGCAGCGGCCGCTCGGATGATGGAGCCGAGCTAGTCGTCGAGGCCCTCGACGGCATGCAGTGCATCTTCGCGGAGTTGGGCGTCAAGGGCGTGACCCAAGCGAAGGAGTGGCTTCGTGGGGCAGGGCGGCCAGATCTGGCGAGCCGAGTAGGCAAGGTTTCGAAGAGTCGGAACGGGGTGGCCCACAGGGACGTGAAGCTCCAGTCGGAAATCAAGGAGGCCATGGGCAGCATGGAGCAGATGAGGGCGGCCGAGACGAGTAAGAACGCGTCCGTGCCTGACGCGCCGTCGACCTCGTGCCACCCCTTCGGGCTGGAGGTCTTCGCAGCGGGGCCCAACGAGCAGCTCGGCCACTTGCGGGACCCCTGCGTGGAGGCCCGCGCCGAGCTCCTCGACGTGCAGTTCGACTGCAGCCAGGCCCTGGCCTCCGCCAACGCCTTGGCGGACGAGCTTGCGGATGGGCTCATGGAGGCTCGGGCCGCCGCCTGGGAGGCCAAGCGGGCCACTGAGGGAGCAGCGGCAAAGGGGCGCGGTCGGGAACGCTGCGGCGGCCCCCCGACAGCCCTGGGCCGCGGAGATCCTCACGACACCTTCGAGGAGGCGCAGGCCGTGCGCCGCTGGGCGGACGACATCGATGAGGGCACTGGCCTGGCGATCGATCTGCAGCAGGACGCTCCGCCCGAGACGCTGGCCTCGGATCGGGGCGTTGAGGAGGCTGCGACCATCGACGCCGCACGGGATGCCGCTCCGCCCGAGACGCTGTCCTCGGATGGGGGCGACGAGGTGGTGCCGACCATCGACGCCGCTCCGCCCGAGACGCTGTCCTCGGATGGAGGCGATGAGGTGGTGCCGACCATCGACAGGGCTGCCGCTCCGCCCGAGACGCTGTCCTCGGCAGGGAGCGACAAGGTGGCGACGGCCGTCGACACCATGACGGCGGCGGCTGCCGCTTCGAGCGATGAGGTGGCTGCGGCCATCGACAGCAAGAACCTCTTCGACGGCGTGGTCGAGCGCAAGGAGGCCGCCCTCGAGGAGGCCAGGGAGGCGATGCTGCTCGTCGCCAATGGACCTCGCCGATGCGATCCGCGAGGAGGACGAGTGGCGCGAGGCCCTCCGCCACGCCAGGGAGAAGAAGCACAAGAAGGGCCGAGGTCGGCGTGGGCCGTCGGCCTACGCTAAGGAAGGATCCTGTGGGGTCCCGTCGTGAGGCCTCGGCAAGGGTCCCTGGGGCTCCTTGGGGTCCTGCGGGGCTCGCGGGGCCTCCGTGGGAATTCGGCTGCATGGCCCTCATGGCTCGAGTCAAGCCTCCTCCTCCTCCTCCTCCTCCTCCTCCTCCTCCTCCTCCTCCTCCCCCTCCTCCCCCTCCTCCTCCTCCTCATCATCATCATCATCATCATCCTCCCCCTTCCTCCTCCAAACAATACTACTCATTGTATTCGCAGTGTTACTCATACCCATGATCGTAATATTAGTATTATTCTAGTCCTGACTCCTCCAAATATTTGTATAAGTATCACGATGACTATGTTAATCGTACTACCATCAGGCACAAGCATTACCAATGTTCTGTAGAGCGGCTATTATTCGTCGTGTTAGCATTCGTATTCGGTCTATAAGTATTATTAGTATTCCTAGTGTCGTTACTAGTAGTATGATGTGGTGTCGCCTGTTTCGTCTGTCCTTAGTACTGTTCTGATGCATACAATCCGCCCGCAATAATAGTAGTAGCAATAGTATACTCAATAATAGTCGCGGTGTTGTTCTTAATTGTCTTATTCGCATGAATAGTATCGTTACTCTTCGTACCAGCGGTATCAATAATATTCCCACTGTTAGTGCTATTGGTACTACTAATAGCACGAGTGAAAGCAACAGTAGTACATATACTCCGAATAATACTTGTAGTTGCATGTGTTGTAGTGATAGTGTGATTGACCTTACTGATTTTATGAATCGTAGTCGTACGAGTATGGTTCTGAGTCGTGTTACTAGCATGGTGAATGATGAATTTATGACTAGTATGATCAAGGTTGCTCGTATAGGTATGAGTCTTGGTATGCGAACGATTGCTCGTTCTTATTATGCTTATGAGCTGTATCCTTCACAAACGGACTGTTCCAATACTTAGTAAATAGGTGGATTCGTGCTGCCAGTTTAGACATGTACGCATATCGCTGATACTATTCGTACCATTCCTGAGTGCGGTCGCACTCTTGGTGCTCGTACTATTGTGATTAATCGTATCAGTGGATTGACAGTCCTTATGCGTGCAGTTGGTATCAAAAGTCGTCTTCTTAGTATTATGCATGTTCTTCTTATGTATATGGTTGAACTTAGCACTGGCATGCTTACTCCCACAACTATTATTTCTAATATTCCCTATCCTCCTCCTCCGCCTCCTCCGTCTCCTCCTATTCCTCCTCTTCGTCCTCCTTCTCCTCCGCCTGCTCCTCCTTCTCTTCCTCCTCCCCTTCCCCCTCCTCCCCCTCCTCCTCCTCCTCCTCCTCCGCACCTTCCTCATCCTCCTCCTCCTCCTCCTCCTCCTCCTCCTCCTCCTCCTCCTCCTCCTCCTCCTCCTGCTCCTCATCCTCCTCCTCCCTCCCTCCTCCTCCCTCCCTCCTCCCTCCGCATCCTCCTCCTCCTCCTCCTCCTCCTCCCTCCTCCTCCTCCTCCTCCTCCTCCGTCCCCCCTCCCCCCCCCCCCCCCCCCACCCCTCCTCCTCCTCCTCCTCCTCCTCCTCATCGTCCTCCTCCCCCCTCGTCCTCTTCGTTGGTTTCCTCCTCCTCCGCCTCTTCCTCCCCCTCCTACTCATCCTCCTCCTCATCCGCATCGTCGTCTGCCTCCTCCTCCTCATCATCATCATCCTCCTCCTTGTCCTCCCCCTGCTCGGCCTCCTCTTCCTTCTCTTCCTCCTCCTCCTCCTCCTCCTCCTCCTCATCCCCCTCATCCTCTTCACCCTATTCCGCCTCCTTTTCCTGCTCATCCGCCTCCCCCTCCTCCTGCCGTTCCTCCTCCTCCTCCTCCGCCTCCTCCTCATCCGCCTCCTCCCCCTCATCCTCCTCCTCCTCCTCCTCCTCCTCCTCCGCCCTACCCTCGTCCTCGTCTTAGTCGCATTGTTAGTATTGATAATATTGTTAGTTGTGCGATTAGCATGCTAAAGATTTCGATTAGTAGTATGAGGAATATCACTTGTAATATCAATATTAGTGTTAGTCGTAGTAGTTGTTGTGTGATTAGTGTTGCGGAAGGTACTGTTGGTAGTGTTGGCAATGGTATCGTTAAGAATATCAGTAGTATTATCATTTGCCCTACATACATTGATACTAACAACAATATGAGTGCTACGATTAGTAATGATACTACGTGTAGTAGCAGCGGCAACAGTAATAGTAGTCACATGGCCATTGATACGATTCGTGTTATTACTAATCGTGTTATGATGCACAACATGACCATTCGTAGTAATAGTGGTAATACAGTGAACAAAGCCATCATCAGTTGTGCTAGCATTGGTAAGACTGCTGGTAACACTAACATTATAGGCTCAAAATATGAGTATCGCCATCATCGACAGTATTATTACTAGTTTTCGTATTATTACTTGGTAGAATTAGACTAGATTCGCACACTTCTCTGTTCATCGTACGTGTTAGTACTGTTCGTGTCAGCATTAAGATTCCTCTTAGTTTTAGTGTTCGTCTTCGTACTGGTATTCTTCATCTTGGTATCCGTAGTAGTATTCTTAGTACTTTTAGTATTACTCTTATGATTACCATCATTGCTCGCATGCTTCCTACGAGTAGTATCGCGGTTAGTGTCCGTATTCTTCATACGAGTTGGAGGCTTACTAATCTGTGGATCATCATCACCCTTATCCTCCCTCATATTCTTGTTAGTATTAGTCGTATGATTACAAGTTCTATCACCAGTATCGTCATTAATACTAGTATTCGTGCGATGATTATTCGTATGGTGCTTCGCCTGATTATGCTTAGTACTGTCATCAGAATCATTAGTATTGCTCCTCTCAGTAGTAGTCTGAATGTTAGTATTAGTGGTACGGGTTCTTCACAATATAACTACCAACAATTGTATTATTAGTATGTGTATGAGTAATGAATCTCCGTGTCAGTAATATTGGAAGTATTCTTCGTCGTCGTATTAGTGTGCTTGTTCAAACTATGAGTCGTAATATGATGATTTGGACTATTCGTAGTTTGAGAATTATTCGTGTGATTCGTATTTGTCCTACTCCTCCTCCTCTTCCACTACCACATCCTCCTTCTTCTCTTCTCCTCCTCGTCCTCCTCATCCTCTTTCGCATCCTCCGCCTCCTCTTCATCATCCTTCTCTTCCTCCTCCTGATCTTCCTCCTCCTCCAACACTTCCTCTTCCTCCTCCACCTCCTGCTGCTCCTCCTCCTCCCCCTCTTCCTCCTCTTTCTCCTCCTTTTCCTTTGCCTCCTCCTCCTCCTCCTCCTACTCCTCCTCCTGCTCCTGCTCCTGCTCCTGCTCCTGCTCCTGCTCCTGCTCCTGCTCCTCCTCCGTCTTTCTCCTCCTCCTCCTCCTCCTACTACCACTACTACTACTACTACTACTACTACTCCTCCTCCTCCTTCACCTCCTCCTCCTCCTCCTCCTCTTCCTGCTCCTCCTGTTGCTGCTGCCCTTCCTCCAGCTGTCTCCTCCTCCTCCCCTCCTCCTCCTCCTCCTCCTCTTCTCTTCCTCTCCTTCCTCCTCTCTTCCTCCTCCTCCTCCTCGTCCTCGTCCTCGTCCTCGTCCTCGTCCTTCTCCTCCTCCTCCTCCTCCTCCTCCTCCTCCTCCTGCTCCTGCTCCTGCTCCTCTCCTGCTCCTCCTCGTCCTCCTCCTCCTCCTCCTGCTCTTCCTCCTCCTCCTCATCCTCCTCCATGGACCCCAGGCAAGGAATCGGTACAACATCTGTGCCGCAATGCCAAGCCACGAGAAATGCAGCGCTTTAACATGCAAAAACAAAGCAGCACAGCGCAGGGCAGCGCAGGGCAGCGCGAGGCAGTACCACGAGATGCAGAGCAGTGCCGAGCAAGGCAAAGTAGCGCACGGCAGTGCAAAGCAGAGCAATGCCATGTAGAGCAGTGCGCGCCCAAGGGGCGGCAACGGGTGCCCTCTGGGCACTGGGCGGCACAGGGCGCCCGCAGGCCGCCCACGGGCCGCAAGGCCGGAGCTCGCGCCCAGCTCCTCAGAAGCGTCACAAGATCACATTCCTGCAGCCACCTCGTTGGGGAATCGACGGGCCTGCGATCTGAGCATCGTTTAGCCGATCCCCATCCCCAGCGGCGTGGCCTGGGCCCCACTGGCCGATTTACCCCCCTAGATGGGGATATAGGCCGTTCCCTTCGGGTCTCGAGGGGTGTATCCCCAACTGGTGTGGTAATATAGTGGGGGTCTCGAAGGGGATGAGAATGGGGATGGGGGTCGGTTAAACGATACTGACGATCCTGAGGCCACTGCGCGCTGCACAAGTTCTGATGGGTCCGCGTGCCCAGCTAGCCAAGCAGTCAGCCACACAGCCAGCCAACCAGGCAGCCACACAGCCAGCCAACCAGCCGAGTTGCCGCCCTGCCCCCCAATCGGCTGAACGAGAACTCAAGCCCAATCAACCCAGCCATGCAGGCTATCAAAAGATGAGGCTGGCGGCAGGGGCAGGATCACACACCATCGAATCGCAAAATCGGATCGAATCGGAAGGTGCCTCGGATCGGGCTCCATCGGCACG